AATATATTTTCTTGCTCTTTTAAGAGAAGATCAATAGTGGTTCCTCACTTCTTTCATTGGGTGACTCGAACTCGATACTTATTTATAATTATTATTTAATATCGTTTTACCTGTGCATCGCACGGGATACGCACTAGTAGTTCGGATGGAAAAAAGTATTTTATCCTATAATATACATAAAAGTAATTCTCTCTTTAAGAGCTCTGATTCTCTCTTTGAGAGCGTATGTTTTTTTTTTTTTTTCATTTTTCAATCATCGATTGATCGTTCTTCTCTGATTTTACATTGATCAATTTGTATTATCTCTTGCTTCTCCTCTTTTTTGAGCATTTTCCTTTTTTCATCTTGACGTCTGAGGGTTTTTGGGGGTAATATGACGGACTTCGATAAGGAGCTCTCAGATCGTTTAAACAAGGTCTCACTCTCTGCAAATGAAGCCAAAATCTTTGATATTGCTCATGATGACATCAAGCTCAGCGACAACGAGTGCAACAGAAGCCTATTTGGGAAAATAGTCGGAGACAGACCAGCTAGTTGGATCGGTATTAAGCGTGTTATGTCCTAGATATGGAAACTTAGTCATCCCATGGACGTTAAAGAACTCAGCCCAAATTATTTCCAGTTCATATTTCAGAACCGGGATGATATGAAGAAGGTAGTCAATGGAACAAACTGGAGCTTCGAGAATCAATACCTCATTCTCAAAGAATGGGATGCGAGTATCAACAGCAAATACCCCGGTTTTCAAGAGCTCAATCTCTGGGTGCAGGTCTAGAACATTCCCCTTAATTGGATCAGCGCCGAGGTGGGACTCAAGATAGGGCAGGCTTTCAATGAGGTTAAGAATGTGGTGATTGCTACTATAGGAAATCATGGTGGTAAGATTCTTAAGCTCTTAGTGACTCTGAATGTGGATGAGCCCCTTCCCAGAGTGGCTAAAGTCAGACTCGGAACCAAATTGTTAATGTTGGATTTAAGTACGAGAAACTCATCAATTTTTGCCACTATTGTGGAAAAATCGGTCATCTGGACAGGGGATGTCCCAAAAAAAATGGCAGATATTAGAAACAATTCTCTCCAAGAGGGACAGTATGGAGACTGGTTGAGGGCAGCTGATGGATTTAAATGGGCTCCTTCCAGCTTATTTGGTTCTAGATCATCTCCACCTCCAGAATCTCCTATAGCTACAGACAATGGCACTTCCCAAATAGCTTCACCAAGCCAATTTGCTGGAAACAAAATCAAATTATTCCCAACACAGGGAACACAGACTCCCCAGCAAAAATCAATTGGAGCTACATTTGTAGTCTCAGCCAACCAAAACACAACTGAAGAAGAGGAAAATGAAGTAGCCAATTTGCAGATTGTGGAATCCACAACCATAGAAGTAGAAAAAAGAGACAAAACTTCAGTTTCAGAACTCTCTTTACATCAAAAATCCTTTCAAGTTTCTAAATCTCAGTCTCTGAAAACTTGGAAAAGAACAAGCACAAAGATGGGCAGACTTATCAGAACAACTGAGAATCCTATTATCATTGATCAGTTGACAAAGGGAAAGAGAGAAAGGCAAGTTATGGATCCAACGGAACAACCAGAGGACTCCAATACTCAAAATCAGGTTCAATCTAAAAAGCAGAAAGCTAGTCTGGAAAAGGTGGGGGTTGCCAGCCTTGAATGGCACTACCCTGATAAATGTTAGCTCTGGTGTGGAATTGTAGAGGGCTGGGTGGGCCCTCTACAATTTTTCAAATCAGAGAGCTTAAAAAGGCTCACCATCCAAATTTTATCTTCCTCTCAGCAACCAAAAAACCAAATGCTTTTGTGAAATCTGCTTGTAAAAAATTAGGTTATGATAATAGAGTAGCTAAGTGGATCTTATAGGCCTCAGTGGGGGGCTTGTTTTGTTGTGGGATACCCACATTTTAATTAATCAAATTATTTGTAAGAACTTTATGATTGCTGTAGAATTTCAACTGCAATCCCATCCCCCTCAATGGGGAGTCTTGTATACCTCAGTCCCTGCAGATTGACTAGAAAGGACCAAAGGGAAAAAATGATTGCAGCCAAGCAGAACTGGGGGTCTCTTTGGTTCTCAATTAGAGACTGGAATGACATCCTCTCAAATTCAGAGAAGTCAGGAGGAATCAACAGACCAATCCACAGCCTCCTTGGTTTTAACTCCTTTGTCACTGATATGGATATGCTGGAAATAAAATCAAATGGCTATGCTTTCACTTGGAGTAACAATAGAGCTGCTCCTGCTCTGGTTGAAGAAAAGCTGGATAGAGCTTTTGGCTCCCTTGATTGGTCTCATTTATACCCAAATGCAGTTGTCTCCAACATCCTCAGAAGCTCTTCAGACCACTCTGCTTTACTTTTAGACTTGGGACAACCTCAAATGAAA